CTTGGGCTTAAGCAATTCTCTTGCCTCAGCCTCCCAAGTTGCTGGAGCTACAGGCGCCCTCCACAATGCCTGGCTATTTTTTAGTTGTAATTGTCATTGTTGGTTGGCAGACCCAGGCTGGATTCTAACCCACCAGCTCCAGTGTGTGTGGCTGGCACCCTAGCCGCTGAGTTTACAGGCACCAAGCCCATCATTAATTTTTAATACTCTCAAATATATTATCTACTTGGAACAAGCAATAAATTCACTCTCATCAATACCGTGATGCCATACAGCTGGAGACTACTAATGGCCACATATTCAGTTCACCATTAGGGAAAAATTTCCTGCAAAGCAATATTTTAAATGTACTTTAAAACCAAATATAAATGATTCAGTGATTGTCATTTATTTTGGATCCTCCCTCTACCTCTGTGCCTCCCTTAGCAGGCTAGAAGTCAGGGGTGCTCACATTTCAGATACTAGTGCCAGGGGCTCCTCTTACAGGATGCTACTTATTCACTGCAGTGGGCCCACGGCAAAAGCCAGGTTTCTTTCCATCAGAGACTACACTGTGAGGTCACTACCGTTAGATGGACCTTACTAAGGGCTTCAACACTATTTGAAGTTTAAAATACAGCATATCCAAATTAAAGATTATATAACTAGGCCAGGCACAGTGGCTCACACCTATAATCCTAGCACTCTGAGAGGCAGAGGCAGCTGAATTGCTTGAGCTCACCAGTTCAAGACCAGTCTGTGCAAGAACTAAAAACTAGTCAGATCTTGTGGCAGGTGCCTATAGTCCCAGGTATTTGAGAGGCTGAGGGAAGAGGATCAATTGAGCCCATGATTTTGAAGTTACTGTAAGCTATGATGCCATAGCACTCTACCAAGGGTGACAGGGTGAGACTGTCTCAAAAAAAAAAAAAAAGTGAAACTCTGTCTCAAAAAAGATTATAAAAGTATTTTTAAATGCTAAAATAACAAAAATACATAAAAAAAGGCCAGTGATCTTTGAAATCTTAAATTTTCCCACAGACCAATTTTCTTCTGTTTTGAAAGAAAAATTTTTCAACTGTCATAATTATAAGGCATTCTCCGGTGATGTCATACAAAATTTTTTAAATATAAGCCAGGACTAGGTAACTCACACCTGTAATCCCAGCACTTTGGGAGGCTAAGGTGAGATGATGGCTTTAGGCCAAGAGTTTGAGAGCGGCCTTAGCAACAAAGCAAGATCCCATATCTCTACAAAAGGTTTTAAAAATGAGCTGGGCATGGTGGTGCACCCCTGTAGTCCCAGGTACTTGGGATGCTGATGTGGGATAATCGCTTGAGCCCAGGAGTTTGAGCTTACAGTGAGTATGATCAGGCCACTGCACTGCAGCTTGGGCAACAGAGTGAGACCCTGTCTCAAAAAACAAACAAACTGAAATACCCTATACTGAGCACGTTTTCACTTAATTTTTAAAATTTATCTCTTTTTATATACCATAAATGGTATCATCCTGTATATAATGTTCTACAACTTTTTATAATTAATCAACTATGCAGACATATGGGTCTATTCCTTTCCCTTTAACTGTATGGATGAACTTAACTGTATTTTTTTTTTTTTTTGAGACAGAGTCTCACTTGGTCACCCTCGGTAGAGCACATGGTAACTATTTCCTTTGCTCAGACACTTAGAATTGTTAGAGTACCCTTTTTCAATTCAACAAGAAATTTTCAAAGTCCCTTAAAAAAGCTATTTCAATTTATACCACTATAACTTGAGTAGCCTTTATCAGAAATGCTCGGACCACAAATGTTTTTGATTTCGAATTTTAGAATATCTGCCCTATACATCTGAGCATTTCCTTTGAGAGTCATGCAGGTGCTCATAGGTTTCAGATTTTGGAGCATTTCTGATTTCAGATTTGGGATGTTCAACTGCCTATACCACATGTATGTTTCCCAATCATATTTAATGGTATTTTTGAACTTTAAAGTATCTGCCAATTTAATGAACAAAATACAGGCTTTTTAACTCACATTTCCCATGTCACTCATGAGGTGTTTACTGACCACTCACATTTTTTCTCTTCTATGAAATACCTATTTAGAACCTTCACCCATTTTTCTCTTTTTTTACTTGTAGATATGTTTATATATTCTAGATATTATTTCTTTATTTGGTGTAAATATTATAACTACATCTTTCTAGGCTGTCATTATTTTAACTTTGTGCTGCCTGTTGTCAATAGAAATTTAATTTTCTGAAATTTTAGTCCAATTTATCAAATCATTTTATTTGTAACATTTACATTTTGTTTTGCTTGCATACCTCAAAGTTAAAAAAAGAAATTCTCTTACTATCTCTAAAACAAAGGTTTTGGCATAAAGTCCTGTTTTTACGAGTCACTGGGGAAAACAGGTGGGAATCAGCTAAGGAGGGCAGTGACTTCTCCACCCTTCCTGCTCCAGGCCCCACAACTGTGAACCCAGGAACATCTCATCTAATACTGCCGAGGGGTTGTGGGACAGGGGGTCAAAGGCAAAGCCTCCAGCCCTGGAGCTGCTCAGTAGGTAAAGAGAAATTAACTACGATTCCTTTGTACCAGGGCCCGGGCTGTCCACCCTCAGACTCATCCAGCCCTACCCAGAACTTCCCAAGAGTAGCATGGACTGGCCTTCTAGCATTCCAGTACCCGATAGAACAGGAGGACAATGAGTTTGCAGAACGTGAGTTTGAAGGTACCACCATTTTCAAAGAGAAACAACACAATCAATTACAGATTTTTTTCAGGAGCAAAAATACTAGAATTGACTGATCAAGAATTTTAAACTTGATTGGTAACCACACTAAAAGAAACAAGACAAAATATTAACATTATGAAAGAAGAACAAGAAAACATAGGAAAGGGCCAAGCAAAAATGTTAGGTATGAAAAATGTAACAGCTGGAAAGAAAACCCCAATATATGGCATCATAGATATAATACGTTACAACCACAGAATAAATGTGCAAATCAGGAGGTGGTGTCACAGCTCACAGCAACCTCCAAATCCTGGGCTTAAGCGATTCTCCTGCCTCCACCTCCCAAGTAGCTGGGATTACAGGTGGCGCCTGCCACAATACCCGGCTATTTTTTTGGTTGCAGCAGTCATTGTTGTTTGGTGGGCCCAGGCTGGATTCGAACCCGCCAGCTCAGATGTATGTGGCTGGTGCCTTAGCTGCTTGAGCCACAGGCACTGAGCCCCTTGGGTGGCAAACATACAGAGGTTTTACTGTCTATATCTATAGTTACCCAGAATTAAAAATCAAGGTAATATCAATGTGATGATGGCCGGGGTGAGGGAGTTTCCTATATCTAATCTTCTATATCTAAATTCCCTTAGATTAAAAAAAAATTTAAGTACATAGAAATGGAGAATAAGTAGGACAAACTGAAATCATAAGAATACTACAAATAGGTTGGGCAGCACCTGTGGCTCAGTGGGAAGGGCACCGGCCCCATATACTGAGGGTGGTGGGTTTGAACCTGGCCTGGCCAAACTGCAACAAAAAACAGCTGGGCATTGTGGCAGGAGCCTGTAGTCCCAGCCAGTTATTTGGGAGGCTAAGGCAAGAGAATCGCCTAAGCCCAGGAGTTGGAGATTGCTGTGAGCTGTGATGTCACAGCACTCTACTGAGGGCAATACAGTGGGATTCTGTCTCTAAAACAAAAAAAAAGAATTCTATGAATAGGCCTGAATATATAAATAAAAAAACCATTATTAGTTCCAGAGAAACCACTCTATGGTCCAACTGAATAGCATTTTCAAAGCCATAATATTGTAAGTGGTGAAAGTCTGCTTAACAGAAAGCAAGGTGTGAAGGTGTGGACCATAGGAGAATGGGGGTATGGGAGTGGCAGAGGCAGGGAAGGAAAGCTAAATCCTTATCTTCCAGCAGGAATCAAGAGCTAATGAATAAACTAGAAAAAATTTCAGAATGACCACACAAGCATATTATTTACAAACATAGAGTAAAGGACAAAACAGACTGCCATAAATGAAGTGCCATAAACGAAGTGGTTGCTTCCAAGGAAGCAATATGGGGGCAAGGTGTGGAGCTGCCCTCTTTCTGCAGAAGTCTTACACAACTATTTGAACCTTTAAACTCTGTTGTATGTAGCTTTTATTAAAATGAATACTAACAAAAGGCAAGGGAAAGAAGAGATCCCAGGACCAGGCTGGACACACCACTCTGTCCAGCTTGTGCAGTTCACGTGCCTGGCTCTGTGAACGGAAGGTCTGTGTCACCCAGCAGGAAGCAGAGCTTCTTCCATGAAAGTCACTTGAGGAATTGCCCCAAGACAGCTTATCCCATTTATGGAATCTATTCAAAGTAGTGAACTTTTTCATTCTCATTTACCTCTGGTGCAAACTAGGAACTCATAGAGGTTCCATTAGGAATGAGTTTCAACCTCCTATTCCTTTTCCCCCACATGTTGGTAACTGACACTGACGCTCTGCCAAACACAGGCTTGCCAGCGATGACCCCTGACTACTGCACCTGCTAAAGTCATTGAAGTGGCTTCCGCAGTGAGCCACTGCACCTCCTCTTTCTTCAAACCTATGTAAGAAATAAGTATTTTTCCTCCAGAATGATTCCTGTTCACCATCATGAATAATCAATGACCTGCTGAAATCTGCAAGGCTTCTTCCATATTAAATGGAGGCATCAGTGCATGAAGACAGGATCTTAGCAAACTAATAGCAGTGTTCATGCTACGTCATAGTATTCTCATCATTATTATTATCAAACATTTCTTGAACACACAACTCTTTGGCTATTTTCAAGATAGTATACAAATGAAGCAAGCCATGTCAAATCCTGCCTTCTTGTTTATAATCTGAGACAGAGCCGTGGATGTACAACATTGAAGCATTTGTTCCTATGGTTTATACACAGGTCCTGAGAGAGAATTTTGGTGGTAGAGAATGAAGCCAATATGTATGTGGAAGGGAACGGCAGTTCAGAATTCAGCATACCTTGAGCATGTAGTAGAAAGGGAACCAGGACAGGAAGAGATCAGAGAAGAATTCAGCAATGCTGAACACGCCGTACACTACCCAGTAGGTCAGCCACTGGGTATCATCTTCTTTGTTGGGACTCTCTATGGCTTTAATTCTGAAAAGCAATACAAAAGGAAGTACATCCTTTAGTAAGATCTCAGTAAAACATTTTCAAACATGATACTCTGCAGCCTGTCCCCCACCACCACTGAGAAACTCGGGCAAACTGTTCCCAGATGCAAGAGCACAGCATGAAGACAGGAGGCAGAGGGAGGATCAGGACGGACGGTCACAGCCATCTGCTCCACATCTGCTTGTCACCAGGGAAGCCAGCACCAGCTGTCACTGCCCCTGGAGCTCCACCCCTCGAGAGCCTCCACCCTCGTCCTGGTAGGTACCACGGGTGAGTGGGAACTGGAGCAACCCCCACTTCCACCTTGGGTCCCGCCATCAGGAAGAGATGAGAAGAATCCTCTCACAGTAACTGGTTCTTATGTACTTGTAATAACTGAGGTACACCATGGGTAAGAACTCCCCATAAAGCAACTTTTGGAACATAGGTCTGGCACTGCCCAAGGTCCACAACATACTTAGAACAAGTGAGAAAGACCCTCCTGGGGTTGAGAGTGTCTTTATGTGATCCTCAGGTTCCGGATATTCCTCCCCTCTTCAGGTAATAACATGCCTTTCCCGACCCTAACTAATGCTGAAACAAAATTCATTCTACAAATAGATGTAAATAAATTTATTATTATGTTTTCTTTTTTTATTTCAGATTAATGTGAGTGTACAAACAACTAGGTTACAATGTTTGCATTTGGTAGGTAGAGTCCCTCTTGTAGTTGTGTTCCTCACCCTGGGAGTGGACATTGTGCCCACTGAGTGCAAGCACACCAGTCCGCCTCCCCTGACTTGAACTGAATTGGTTTTCTCTTGTGCAGGCATGTATTAGATCATCTACTGGCTTCATATTTGTACTGAGTACACAGGATACTTGCTTTTCCATTCTTGTGACGCTTTACTAAGAAGAATGGGTTTCAGTTAGATGGAAATAAATTTAAAATACTCTTTTACTTCTGAATCAAAGAAATTTCCTCTACACTTGGGATTTCCTCGTTCTAACCTGAAGCTCCACAATTTCTTATTCTATCTGAACATATATCTGGATATTTGTCATAACTGAGCTGGACTAAAACAGTAACTAGAAGGAATCTTTAAGATAGGCTAACCACTGCAAAAGCACTGGCCACTCCACAAAATCAGCTCCCTGAAGAACAGTTGCTAACTCTGCTGACTCACTCACTCAGAAAGCCCGGAGGAAGGGAATCAGAAGCAGGTGTGCGCGTGTGCGTGCCTGTGCACGTCACATGTTTTAAGAAAATAACCAAAAAAGAGAAAAGCTGCAGCTGAATGAGGTGATTGCTAATGAGGAAGTCACAGAGTGAGTGCTGTGTTGAACTTCAGGACTAACCAAAAACGTTCACTTAAAGTACAGGAATGATGTAAAATGAATCTCGGAGAGCTGACTGTAAAGTAATAGCTTGTGATGTGAGGATAAGCTTGTGTTTTGGCTTCCCTCACGCAGAAGTGAGCTAATGTAACGGAGGCCAATGGGAAGCAGCAGGAGGAGTGTTAACCGGGATCACGGCCGAGTCCGCCTGTATGTGGAAGGCTGGGCTTCCTGCTCTGAGCTTTATTTGCCATAGTGTGACTTACCTATTTGTATTTAGTTAGTAGTATGATTAAAAACTGCTTCCTTATACACTCATCCGGAGCAGCAGGGGTTAGAGTTACATTTTTCTCAAAGTCCTAGTTTTGTGCACCAAAGCATTCCATGACTAAACTATCTACTCTGTCACTGCAAAGGAAGAAGCTCTCAGAAGATGCCTGGGAAATTGAACTGCCTCTTTAAATATGATATGAATACCAAAAACTTTGATGAGACTTGTCAAATCCAGAGGCTCTTAGATTCTTTTGACCCTCAGTAAGTATACATCTTACATTATCCATGAAACACATATTCACATATTTCCACATATAAACTAAAATAGATGCTTCATGAAACCATTCTGACATTTTCAATCCCATTCTATTGTGTTACTTTAAAGATTTTAGTCATGACCCACAGATTCAAAAACAGAAAAATTGCCCCAACAGTTCACTTTCAGCTCTTCAAGGAATACAAAGTGGTTAGTTTCCTAATTTATCAACAATATGAATTCAAAAGTTCTCCCGTTAATACACTGGAACACTATGTAGAAATACTGAGTAGCAGAAAGAAAAGAACCAAAATGGACAGTGAACACCAATCCAACTGTGGGAACCGAGGGGCAGGAAAGAAGACAGGAGGGACCACAGAAGTGATGTCCTACACTGAAAAGAGGTTTTTCTTTTTTTGGTATCCTTGTCAGGATGGGAAAAAGGTTTTTTAATAGAATTTCTCATATTATCAAAGCACTTAATTATTGATTTTTAAGAATGTGTATACATGTTGGAACATCATAAGCTACTCAAAACTAGAAAAAAGGTGACACAGTCAGCTCCCCAGTCAGGAACCTGAGCCTCAGAAAGGCGCTGTGCTCATGGGCGGCCCCCGTAGCTCAGTGGCAGGGTGCCGGCCACAGACACCAAGGCTGGCGGGTTCGAATCCGGCCCAGGCCTGCTAAAAACAGCAACAACAAAATAGCCAGGTGTTGTGGTGGGCCCCTGTAGTCCCAGCTACTTGGGAGGATGAGACAAGAGAATCACTTAAGCCCAGGAGTTTGAGGTTGCTGTGAGCTGTGACACCACCTCACAATGCTGAGGGCAACATAATGAGAGTCTATCTCAAAAAAAAAAAAAAAAGTGCTGTGCTGTAGTCATGGTGAGGGAAGAAAAGGGCCTACAGCTGAGGTTTCCTGGGTGCCATCTGCTTATCTAGGGTCTGAACAGACTTCCTGGTTCAGGTAGAGTGGACGGAGGTGATTCTTCAACATACACTCTGCTGCCCACACATACACGGAATCATATTCCAAGTTGGTGTCTAAGACTGGGGATGTAGCAATATAAATGAATTTTAAATCAAAAAGACTTCGCAAAGCAGGTGTTTACAAAATTTAAAAATACATACAATGAAATATTCCAAAGCCTTTAAAAAGGATATTAAAAGGGAAAGATGTTAAGAAAAAGAAAAAAAAAGACACGTTTGTGTGTCTTTACAGACCAAGAATGGTAGACAGAAAGATACACGCTATATTTCAAATTATATAAAGTTAATCCTGGGTACTGAATAACAGAATTTTACTGAAGGTCTTTGCAATAAGTATGTGCTAATTTTTATAATAAAAAGAAGTGGGGGAAGATTTCTTGTAGAAAAAGAAATGGGCACCAGACTACCGGTACCTGCTTCCTCCTAGGAGAGAAGCTGTCTCTTTAGGGCTTTGTTAACACAAACACTAAAGTGAACAGCAGACACATTCATTTAATTTCTCTCTTGAGAAAACAGCTAATGGTTTTCTGACAAACAAACTTGTCTAATACTGGTCAGATACATCTGTTGTGTTTTAGAGCACAAGGCCTGCAACACATACATACACAGAGAGAAAAGAGAACATACAGCCGGCACGTGGCCCTGACTCAGTTCAACTTTCTACCTAAATCGAACGCCGTAAACTACTAATTACACTGAACTAAGGCGCAGCCAGGCCTTTGTATCTTTTCAGCATTTCACCATACTGAGTTTACAGCTTGGTACTCTGGCTCTCTCACTAGGTAGTGACCTCGGGCAAGTTGTTTAGTATCTCTCAGCCTTAATTTGCTCACCTATCAAGTAGGGATAACAGGCCTCATTGTGTTAGTGTGAAAATAAAGTAGTTTATACATGCAAAGCACTTAAAAATAATGAATGCACAAAGTAAGTAGTCAGCAAATATTCCCTTTCCAGGTAACAATTACAGTATATAGTATGGCAGTAACTTACTATCTTGAGATAAGAGAGAGAGATAACAGCAGAGATAAGATTCCAGTTCTTTGGGCTAAGTAGAGCTGGTAAAGGGTTTATATCCATTAACAAGATTAAAAGAGGATTAGAGAATTACTCATGAATTTTAATTATACTCCACTCTCCAAATCCCAAATGCTAAGGTAATAGTCAAGAGTTAGCTGAATCCCCCAAATCCACCTTGCAGGTCAAAGGGAAGAAATTAAGACCACCGGAAACATTTTTCAGGCCCGCCTACAAATATGCAATGGCAGAAATGCTTTATGCTGGCATGGGACTGGTACTGATGTGGACATAAGTCACTAGGCAGCCTTCTTCCAGCCCACTGGCCCCCAGTAGTTGGTACTCTACCCTTCTGGGTCATCTTATTCACACCTCAGCTGCTGTTTCCTGAAAGCAAGGGCAAGAACCAAGGACGGGCAAGAACCAAGGACGGCCAAAGAACAGCATTAAACACTTGTGAAGAAAACAAAGGTTGAAGAGAGATGTCCTGGGCTACCAATAATTCTTTCCCGCCCACACTAATGTTGTCATGTAAAGAACCTAAGCTATTCCCTGACCCATGACACAAGTAAACTTTAAATCCTCTAAGAACTTAGGTGGTAATGATAAGTCAATGGAGGTTCATCAGCTGTAACAAGTGCACCGCTCAGGTGAGGAATATTGACAGTATAGGAGGCTGTGCCTGTGGGGGGAGGGGGTGCAAGGGAAATCTCTGTATCTCCTGCACAATTTTGCTATGAACCTAAACTTGCTCTAAAATATAAATTCTATTTTTTAAGAAAGAAAGACTTTATCTACCAATTAGGCATTCTGTACTACAAGATTTTTAAATTCTTATATTGCCGTCATGCGGTTTTGTTTTGTTTGAGACAAACTATATTACCCTTGGCAGAGTGCTGTGGCATCAGAGCTCACAGCAACTTCAAACTCTTGGGCTTAAGTGATTCTCTTGCCTCAGCCTCTTAAGTAGCTGGTACTACAGGTGCCTGCCACAACACCTAGCTATTTTCTTGTTGTAGTTGTCATGGTTGTTTGGCAGGCTTGGGCTGGGTTTGAACCACCAGCCCTGGTATATGTGGCCAGTGCCCTAGCTGCTGAGCTACAGGTGCCAAGCCAACCATCATGCCATTTTG